GTAAGTAATAAGTGGTGTTATATTATTATTTACTTGTCCATAACTAACAGGAGATTAACTGATTAACTTTCCCTATCATTACTTCAGATAATTAACACGTGTGCCCTGATTTAGCCACAGTTAAATGAAAAGTTAATTTTTACTGAATTTAAGATTGGTGTGAGTTGAATTGCGAATAAAACTAATACTGGTATTAGCAGGTGTTAGCAGGTGGTAGGTTACCATGACTGATGGCCAATATCAGAAAGGCTTCAAATTCTTCTCCACAGGCAATACACTAATTTATTTTCCGCTGGAAGATTTCGCTAATGCTAAAATTGTGATGGGATTTTTTCCCCTCTCGGATTTTTACGAAATCCGTAAACCACACGTGATGTGATGATTATGTGGCTGATTTTGAGAGAATAAAACGTATAATACCGTTCGTGGAGCTTTAAGTTTAAATATACCTGCTATTATCTTTAGGTCTTAGTAATGGTTTTATTACATGTGTCTGGGGACAGGTAGTTTGTCTTATTACCAAACATCACTATTACTAAGCACCACTACCACCAAACTCCACTATCACCAATACTCTTAGCGCCACTATTGTCGTCATGGTACTCCCGTCACCAACAGCACAAGGTCCTACACCCCTATCACCATTGCTACCACTGTGGTGCTACCACCATCACCAACACCCCCCTTCACCACCATTACCAACACCAGCAACACCAACACCACCAACACTACCATCACCAACACCTTCACCACTTTCCATCACCAACACCTTCACCACCACCATCACCAACACATCACCACCAACGCCATCACCAACACCACCGTCACCAGCACCACCATCGTGCCAACGACAACAATAACATAGCGAGAAACCCGGACAAAATCAATATTAAAGAAACATAATAACAACAATACAAGCAACAACAACAATAACAAAACACTAACACAGAGACCATAAAAAACAACAACAGTAGCAATAACAGACAAACAGTCAAGCAGCTACTTCAACAGTACCTGTTACAAGCACTAGCGTCTCATTCAAGCACCTTCCTGACTCTTCCTCCAGATGTCATCACACAGTCACTGTCCAAGCGTAGATGTACGTTCGGAGCGCTACGCTAGCGAGCGTAGATCTACGTTTGGACAGTTTAAGGGTTAACTCTCTCTCTCTCATAATAACCACAGTCCTCTCTCTCTCTCTCTCTCTCTCTCTTCTCTCTCTCTCTCTCTCTCTCACACACACAAAACACACACACACACACACACATTTTTGTGGGTTTTTTTGGCTTTTTTTGGAACCTCCACTCTACAAAATTTCTTTCCCTTTTTCCCTTGCTAAAAAAAAAAGCAATTTTTTTGAATGGTGAAACAAAATTTTTTAAATTTAACAGAAATTAAGACGTATTTTTCAAATTTTGGGTTCACATTAAAGAAACAGATTATTATTATTAATTTTTAAATTTTTATTTTATTATTGTTGTTGCTTTTTGTTTTTGCTTTTTTTATTATTGTTTTTTTAAAACAATTTAAAAAATAATCGGTAAATGGTATAGATAACACAGGCCCCATAAAATTGGGGGCTTTGTAGTTTTTGGACGGAATATTTTCACTTTGTTTTAAATTTCCACAAATTTTTTTTTTCCCCCTAAAGAGGCATTGTATCTTTTTTTTTAAACCTTTTTTTCAAAAAAAATTACCTCATTGCAATTTTTCACCCAAATTTTCCTCGGGAAAGGGGCCTTTTGAAACTTGCTTTCCTCAGCCCGCTAGTTTTTAAAACAACAGTTCCCTTTTCTAGACGAGGGGATAGTTTTTTTTCAGCAGACCGCCTTGGGGTGAACTCTGCGTTTTCTTTGAGAAGCAAACATTTTGTCAGTCAGACGGAAGGTTTAAACCCGGGGGGTTTAAAACGGGGGAAATGAGCTCTTTTTTCCGGGGTTTCCCCTTTAAGGAAATTTTTCTCTGTTTGGTCTTGAGGTGGGTTTAAAATTTTTTACAATGCCCCCCTGATTTCTGGTTAAATTTTTTGGAACTGTGTAAAAAAAGTTCCCGGGGTTTAAATGGTTTGGGGTTTCGTTTAAAAAGGGCTTCTGTTGTGGAGGAAAAATTTTGGGGTATGTGTGTTTGTTGTGTTTTGTGTGTTGTGTGGTTTTGGGGTGTGTGTGTTGTGTGGGGTGTGATGTGTGTGTTTTTGTCTAATCACCTTTTTTTGTACTCAAACCCATTTGTGGTTTTCAGGGTCGAAAATCTTGCTCCTGGCCCCGCCTCTTTTACCCCGGTTTCTTTTTTTGGGCCCCCCCTCTCCCCCCCCCTCCCCATGTTTATTTATTTAAAAACCCCGTTCCATTTAAAAAGGGGTATGGGTTTTTTTTGCCTCCACTACGTTTTTTTTTTCTAGGCTATTCCCCTGCCCTTTCCCTCTATTAATGAAGAAAACTTTTTTAAATATCTCTTGATCCTTTGTTCTTCAAATTCCAAATTTTGGCCTCTTTTTTCCCGGTCCCCCCCCCTGGAACCAAACCGTTTCCCCTTTTCCCCTTGTCTATTTCCCCGCAGGTATTTTTTATGTCGGGTTTTCATGTTTATTTTTCCCCCGACCCCCTGTCCTCCCAGTGTCGTCAGGGCCCATTTTTCCCTTAAATCTTTCTTCTAGGGCCCTTCCCCCCTTTGCTTTTGGAACTAACCTTGGGTTTCAAACCTTTTTTTTATTTCCCAGTTTTTTGACGTCTTTATCAAGGGGGGTTCCAAACCCGGGGCTTTCATACTCCATTTTGGGCCTGACCCTACCGGGTACAGTGTCTTGAATTATTCCTTTCTTAAAGGGGTTTGGAAAAAGCTGTTCTCAGGGTTTTCCAGGGGCGCCCATATGCTGCAGCCCGTTATTTGTTTTTAAAGTGTGCTTCCGGAGACATGGTCGGTGTTTATACTCCAAACCCCCAAGATCTTTTCCTTGAGTGAGGTTTGCAGTTTTGTCCCCCCTAAAACCTTTTACTCCGTCTGTGGGTTTTTTGTTCCCTTTCCCCTATTTCATGACTTTGGGATTTTGGGAGGATTTAAATTCGAGAAAACCATTTGCTGGGCCAGGTGTCCATCTGTCCCCGGCTCTTAAGCCCCTGGGTCCTCATCAGAATTTAAAATTTTCCTATTAATTCACATTTCTGCAAAAAGGGACACTTTTGAGTCTAACCCTTCCGTCATTTTCGTTCCACAAATACCAAAAATAGCACTTGGGGCCTAGGACCGGGGGCCCCCCGTGGGACCCCCCCCTGGCCAGGGCCCCCTGTGATAAAATCATTACGTACCATGACTTCCCTTGTTTGCCTCCCTGCAGGTTTTCTCTGATCCATTGCAGTGCCCTTTTCCCGTTAATGCGCCTGATTCTTTAGCTTTTGCCCCTAATTTTTCTTGTTTAGGGAAAGTGTCCCAAAAGGGCCCTTTTTGCAGTCCCAAAAAGATGCAAACAACCCCAAACCCCTCTCCTCTTGTCTTACTTTTTGTTAAATTTTTTATTTAAACCCCCAGAAAGGTTTTTGACCCCCAGGAAATTTTCCCCTTCCCGGGAAACCGTGCTGGTTGGCATTTATAATCCTGTTCCCCCCCTCCAGGGGGTGTTCCCCCCACTCCTTTCCCGAAATTTTTCTCCATTTAAATTTTGGGATACTATACCGTCGATGACAAAGGGCTATTTGTTTAAAATGCCCTTTTTTTTTTCGTCCCCCTTTTTGAAAATGGGAATACCTTTGCCCCTCTTCCATACCTAAAGGGAGTTGCCCATTTCCGGGGTTGGGGTTGATGTTGATGTGTGATGTGTGATGTTTGTGTGTGTGTGTGGTTTTTGGGGGTGTGTTTTGGGGGGTGTTTTTGGGGTGTGTGTATACTTCCCCAATTATGGGTTGCAGGATCGATTCAAAAAAGGTCCGGCCCCCCCCCCCCCCTTTTTCACTGGTCGGGTACTGGGCCTTTTCTTCCCTGCTCCATTTTCCCTTTTTCATTTCTTTTTTTTAAAAAAGTAGGGGTCCAGGGGTGTATGTGAAAAATGGGGAATGGGCTTGAACATAGACTGGTAATTCTGGGTTCTTATGTTTAAAATAAATACCACTAACAAGTTTTGTTAAACCTTGGGCCAAGTACAGTGGACCCCCCGGTTTAAAAAAACACCTCCAAATTCGGGCCAATTATGAAATGTTTTTATGTAATGCGTTTTTTTTAGTTTATGTTTGGGGGTCTGAAAATTGGGCTAAACTACTCACTTTTCCTTATGGGGAAAAAAAACGGTCAGGTTTCTGGGCCAAAATGAAACCCTCTTCTGGGTGAAAAAAGTTCCCTTTTAACCGGGGGTCCACTGTATTCATATATAAATATATAGAAGTCAGTCCTTGAAGAGAATTTGTTTGATACAGTGTGTCACTGCATGTATCCACCTCTTTCTTTGTCTTCATGTGTATCTGAGTGTCTCTGTATGTGTTATGCATCTCCGTATCTGATTGGTAACCAACATGAAGGTTGGCTCATGTCCTGACAGTCATGCACGGAACACCTGATCGTCCTTAAACGTGCTTATACTTGTCCTTCTGAGTGTACGTGATTGGTCAAGACTGTCGGAACCTAGTCGCTGATTGGACGAGTAATTATAACGCATTAATATTGGATGAAGGTGATTGTGGACGTGAGAGTTGTATACTAAGATGAAGGACACAGGGGTAATAACAGGTAATTTTTTTGTAGTTCTCTTACAACCTATGTAGGATGTCTGTAGTCTCTCACATTTTTTTTATATTTTTCGTTGTTTTGGGTCATAAACATTAAAACGTTTCGCCACGACGGTATTCAAGGGATAACTTGAGAATCTACCGTTCTCACACGCTGCAACTTTTCGCCTATAACAGCTTTCAAGGAACACATGAGATGACTTCCTCACTTCTATTTGAAGTGTTCTTTTACGTACATGGGAATTCATAAACCATACCCCCGGCCGGGATTGAACCCGCGGTCATAGAGTC